TAAGTGCAAATATTTTAAGGGGTAGTAGATCTCGATAAAAGAAACATATTTTCTCTTTATCGTTTTTCAAATAAGTCCAAAATAGCGGAGTTATTTTACTTTGAAAATTTCCAAAAAAAATATTTTTTGCTAAAATTTTGAGAACCACTGGATCTTTTCTGGATTTTCTTTCTTGCAAATTTAATATAATACCTATGTTGCTATATTATCAAGAAATTATGTTTTTTAACTAAAAACTAAAAAAAAATCCAAAAAATTTTTCAAAAAATTTCGAATTTTCAAAATTTTTTTTTCGTAAAAAAAATCTCATAGGCGTGTTTCTGGGGTTGAACTATACTACCAGTTAAAATATTTGCACTTATTTCTGGGACACCCTGTAACAATATGCGACGGCGACGGATCGGCCAGCGTAATCGTAGCCCGATGCTAGGCGGGCGTGGGGAGTGCCAGCCGTATGTTATCGGTTCCGGACCGAGAGGAACTAGAGGAACTAAATAAAAGACTAGTTTACGTACGGATCGGCCAGCGCGATCGTAGCCCAATGTTAAGCGGGAGAACTGAAGAGGAACTAGAGGAACTAATTAAAAGACTAGTTTACGGGAATCTATTCAGTCCGCTGATCCGAGATATAATAGAAGGCGACAAAAATGGATCCGGCCTTGGAATGTCGTAGATACTGTTTTTAATTTTTAATTTGTTCTTTGAATATCTTATGGAAATATTTCACTTTCTCTCCTCTTCTGGACTGTGCCTTCGCCTTTTCTGCTGTAAATGTTTTTTATGTTTATATTTGAATTCAAAGGATTTATTTTTAAAGTTACACTGATATATTAGTATATCAAAGTAACTTTAATAAAACATAAGAATATATATATTTTACAATTTATTTTTTTATTTATTTTACAGAGTTTCATGTAAATGATCGTAAGTCGACTGGCTATCTAATGAATAGACCGAGATTTATAGATTTTAAAGCGAACGAAAAAAAAAATCAAACAACGAATACATACAATATATTCTTCTTTTATCTAAGATACATACCTTATCGTATTTTGGAAACACGTACATTTTTGCAGTTTTGTTAGTTTCTTTGCAAGATGCAACACAACAAGAAAACACCATTTTTACTTTAAAGTTAATAAATAATAAAACTATTTCTGACTATGATATTTAAAATTTAGATAGATAGAAAATTAAAAAACAAACGAGTATTTGCAAACGCAGGCCCAAATTCAATAAAAATCAAAATTTTTCCTGCGAAAATCAGGCTTTTTTCACTGAAAAGGTATTTTTTGATTTATCAGCAGTCATTGTCAAGTTGACAATATACAGGGTGTTTTCGAATTAGTCTAAAAAATTATGGTGTGACCTCATGTGTTCTTAAAACAATTTTTATATAACCATTGGGTCTAAAGTACTTCCTTTCTGACCTACAGGGTGTTAAAAATTAAAAAAAATCGATTGTTTTGCTTAACATAAAAGGTACACCACTGCTTCTTTAAAGAAAATATATTTTTTTCTTGACTGGTCATCCTTTTTCAACAAAATTGATCTTTTGAGTTTTTCTTGCTCATCAAACGGTTGTCGAGAAAAAAATAAATATACTTATTAAGAGCCGGCCTTAATTCGTTTTTTAACGATTTTTAATTTTTTAGATTAATTAGGAAACACCCTGTATATGCATATCACAGGCAACCAAATAAACTAGTAACCTCTAAAAATTATTTTTCCTACCACTACCGACATACCGTGTTTTTAGTGTATACTAAATTATTTTATCAAAATTTCATCATATAAGTTTCCAGGCAATGCCCATGAGCAAGCAACGGGGTTTGTCAATGTTAGTCGGGAGCTAATGTAAAAATACTTCACCTAGTTCAAGGAACTATTCCTCTGAAGGAACTAGAACTAAGGAACCTGTCCCTCCGAAGGAACTAAAATTCCCACCTCTATAATATTTGTCTCTATTAGAGCAAACGTCAATAAAAATAATAATAATATGACTTATTAGTGACAGTGACATTGTTAACATGTTATTAATTGTTAACATTTCACAGGGTGTTTCAAACTTTCACCAAAACATCAACGTTTCAACAAATGGAAAATGTCATTTTTAATTTAGAAAGAGACACTAAAAAGTTTAATAATTTAGCTACAAATTGCTTTAAAAATCATCAAAATCGGCCCACTGGAATAAATATGAAATTTCAAAATTTTAAGGTTTTAAAGTTTTGTTTAAGGCGTGATGGCTGCTTCCTGGCTTTGAAGATTTTGTTCTGAGAATGTCCTTGATTCAGAGGACTCCAATAATTTCCATTTTCCTCAAATTCTTTGTCAAATATTTCTAGATTTGTGTATTCCAAATACCAAGGTGGAACTTTGTAGGGTACCTACTTTTAAAACCTGATATGATCTTATAACTTTATCTCTCAAGGAAGTAAAAAGTTTTTTGTTGGTAATTTTTTGTTTTTCACTGAGCGATGTATATGTTGGAGGCAGATGCCGAATTCGGCCTATGTCCGAAATAATTAGACATATGGCGATTTGTCCATACTAAACTTGCCAGATGCGTGCAACTTCGTGGTTATAAATAGTCTTTATATAACTTCTTTGCGAAGGGAGTTAAGCTTGATTTTCATGCATCCGTTGTCCAACGATACGTTGATACGTTATTAATTTTATTGGTATAATTTAGAGACTTTGATTGGTTAGAAAATAACGCAGTTTTTGATAAATTTATTGCATTTTCATGCCTCCGTTTATCGGATATACGTTGGTGTTATTTTATATTTTCGTTTCCATAACGATTTTGCTATTTTACTTATATTTTTATTAAGGTTAGATTAAATTTGTTAAAAAAGTGTCAAAACGTCCGTTATCGTATGAACGGATCCGTTGTCGGGCTGAAGTAAAATATATACGGATGAAAAGTGGCGCGAAAACGCTATGACCAATCAGAGCACCGTCGGACCATCGTATCAACGTATAACGGATGCATGAAAATCAAGCATAATATTTTTTTGGTATAATATAACAACAAAAGATTAACACCCTCCGCATAGAAGTTGAAACCAATGCAATCAAAACTTTTCCGCGTAACTTTGTGGATATAGGTAGGTATATTTAATTATAATCGCCATATGTCTAATTATTTCGGACATAGGTCAAATTCGGCATCTGCCTCCAACATATATACAAATTGCACTAATTTAACAAAAGTATTAAAGTGCTGCAATAAATTTGCTTTGACTTTATTTTTAATTGTATCATTTTCAGGTCTTTATTTTTTAAGAACGCGCTTTGATTTGTTTCTTTCCAGATTTGTTAAACTTAATAGCTTCGCAAGGATCTCTTCCCAATAATCAGCCATAAATTATACAAAAGTGAGAAAATAATTTACAAAAACAAAAAAAAGTAACAAAATGTCCGTTATTTACTACAAAAAAACTTTTCTTCTAACCATAATAAGATATAATAATTAACTAATTTTAATAAGTTCATGCAATTTCATATAAAAAAAACAGCACTGTTCATCAAAAAGTACTGCTCGCACTAAACATCTTCTGTTTGGTTTCGAAGGGCCATGCTTCTTGATTAGTTTGTTCTGAGCCCCGTTCGGTAATTTTTATGTAGTTTCAGTAGATGTAATATCACCATAACTGCTACTGCAATGTACAGGGTGAGTCAAAGATAGAGTAAAGTCCATTATCTGATTTGTTTCGAGGTTTACAAAAAAATGTTGAATATAATAAGGAAGATTAAGACACACATTTTAAAATTATTATGGAGTATACAAACGGTGCTTCAAAAAAGTGTGGCGGATATAACATGTTGTTTTAAAAGCAACACCCTATTTTTTATTTTATTTTTAGATTCTGTGTAAAATTCCATAACTTTTTTTCTATATAATTTTATATACCTAAAACTAATAGATTTTGTAATATTTAAATTTGTTTAAATAAATGTTAAATTGCAGTGTGGTAAAAAATTGTCAGTGGTGCCATTGTTTCTGAAGTTGGAGTACCAAAATTTGGTAAGAGAGTTTTATAGAGATAAAAAAAAGATATGTTTAAAGATATTTTAGTTAAATGATACAGGGTGTTCAAAATATATTTATGAATTTCAACTACTTAAAATTAAAAAAAATCAATTTTTTTTAAATGGTACACCCTATATATTATCATTTTTTATGAGAGATTTTACAAAACTCTTCAACTTTTATTAAGTATCATATACCTATTTTTAATAATTTGCGATTTATTTCAATTTTTTCGATTTTTATCCATATTTTTAATACAATAAAATGATTACCCTATAACATCATAGTTGCCATGACAAAACAAAAAAAAAATATATTACTTTTCTTTAACTAGTAGTTTAATAATTAGTTAAAATTAATTAACTGTGAATTTCTTGGTGTATTTGTATATTATAAAAGATGATCTGATTTGAATGAAAAATGCTAGATTACCTAAGGGTTGACGACTACTGATATAGGAATTAGGAATTTTCTTCGACATACAGTAAAGTTTTTTTTCTCGTAGTAATTCTGGTTTCTAATTCATTTCATAAAGCCAATATTACTACTGCCGCGAAATCATCCCATTACACATTGAAAATCATATAATATAATATGAAAATGTTTTCTTGATGATCTACACATCTATTCTTTATAGTACTTAACGTACTATATGATATAGTACTAAACCAAAAAATCTGTTTTTCTTGGCTTGTTCGTGTTTATCAGTCACATTGACTAATTCATTTTCAGGAGAATCTGTAACTATTATCTCTACCATTTATACTTATTACAACAAATTAAACTAAAATTCAAGTTTTGTTCTTAACTTGCTTAACAGACATAATATGCAATTTTGATAATTATTACTTTTGTTATGGCAACTATGATGTTATAGCGTAACTGTATTAAAAATATGGATAAAAATATAAAATAAATGGAATAAATCGCAAACTATTAATTATTATTATTAAATTATGCCATGCTGCATCGCTCGACCCGCAGATTAAAAAGGAGCGCGCTTGCTGCCGGAGAAGGAGGGGCACCTGGACAGCAGGCGAAAAGTGAGCTACAGACGGACCTCCCAGAAACTCACGATACAAGACGTACGTGGACGACGCAACAGTGTCGTGAAATCTATCGATGTTACTTCAGAGCGAACCCAGAAAAACGGGGATATCAGAAACGCATGTACGAACTTTGGAAAGAAAAGTACCCAGAATGTGATGTGCCAGAAAGAAGATTCGCGGGCCAATTCCAAAATCTAAAAAAATCAAAAATGTTTACGGAAGTAGAAGTGGAAGAATTAAAACGAGACACCCAACGCGACCAAGGAAGAAATGAGGAAGAAGCTCAGGTAGAGGAACAACCCAAAGAACAAGTAGCGGCAACTAAGAACGCAGAAGCTAATGACCACACCCCTGAAGTTATTCACACCCTAAAACCTAGTCAGTTAGAACTCAGAAGCAAAATTCTAATAGAACTCAAGAACAACAATGAAAGGATAAGACTCCCTCCGCTGAAGAAGACGAAAAGAAATGATTTAATCAGAATTCTTCGAGATATTAATACAGTAATAGATACAATCCATACCGAAAGTCTAACAGAAACCAACAAGCTTATGTACAGTACCGCAGTGGTAGCTACGAGAGAATTGGGATACGACATCTCACCAGAACGAAAACAGCAAAAACAACCTAAATGGAAAATAAGACTCAAATGGAAACTGGGCCAACTCAGAGCAGACTTAAGTTGCATTAAAAAGTGGAAAGACGGAAAACTGAATGACCAAAGGAAAAAAGATTACCTATGGCACAAATATAAAATGGCGGAAAAGCGCATACCCACAGTAATGGAAGAACTTAAGCAGCGCATAATGGCAACAGCAAACAAGATCGAAAGATACGAGCGACGAATTGTCCAGTATAGACAGAATCAGCTTTTTAAAACAGACCAAAAAAGATTTTACAAGTCATTAGAAAACTCCAACACAGGCAAACAAAACCTGCCAGACAAAGAAGCCACATACGGGTTCTGGAGAGACATATGGGATAACAGCACTAAACACAACGCAGAAGCAAAATGGATTAAGGACACCAAAAAACAAATGAAAACCCCAAAAATGCCAGAGTTCCAGATCACCACAGAACTAGTTAAGAAGCAGGCTAGAAAATCTAAGAACTGGAGCACCCCAGGACCAGATGAAATACATGGCTACTGGCTCAAGCACCTAACAAAACTACATGAAAGACTTGCCGGACAATTCAACACTGTATTGGACGACCCAACAGACTACCAATGGCTAACCTTAGGAAAAACGTTTCTTATCATGAAAGATCCCCAAAAGGTGCAATTCCAAGCAATTACAGACCAATCACGTGTCTTCCAACGACATTTAAAGTGCTGACGGGTATATTAGGAGAGGCAATATATGCACACCTAACAACAAACAACCTATACCCAGTGGAACAAAAAGGAAGCTGTAAACAAACCAGAGGTACAAAGGATCAACTATTAATCGACAAGATGGTATTAAAAAACTGCAGAAGAAAGCAAACAAACCTGCATATGGCTTGGATAGATTATAGAAAAGCTTTCGATTCTCTACCGCATAGCTGGATCCGGGAATGCCTGAATATTTACGGTATTAGTAATAAAGTAACAACGTTTATATCCAAGGGCATGGACTCATGGAGAACCAATCTGTATGTTGGAGGACAGGACTATGGCCAGTTAAAGATCAAAAGAGGAATTTTCCAAGGAGATTCTCTCTCTCCGCTGCTTTTCACGACGGCTCTTTTCCCTTTGACAACAATGCTCAACAAATCCAAGGTGGGCTATCAGGTATCAGGGCGAGCTGGAAAGATCAACCACCTCCTATACATGGATGATCTCAAGCTGTACGCTGGAACTCGAGGAGGCATTGAATCGCTGCTGAACACGGTCCGGATATTCAGCGAGGACATTGGAATGCAGTTTGGATTAGACAAATGTGCGACAATGGCTTTACGAAGAGGAAAGCTCATAGAATCAGAGGGAATCGAGTTCGAGAATGGAGACATAATCAAGAACCTAGGCCCAGACCATAAATACCGATACTTGGGAATTCTCGAAGCGGCCGATCTCTTGCACGAAGAGGTTAAAGCATCTAGTCGCCAAGAATATCTGAAAAGGGTTAGAAAAATATTAAAAACCAAATTGAATGGAGGAAATAGTATCAAAGCCATAAACACTTGGGCAGTTCCGGTCATAAGATATACTGCAGGAATAATAAATTGGACACAAGCAGAACTTGAAGAACTTGATAAAAGAACAAGAAAAATCATGACAATGCACCAAGCATTGCATCCCAAGAGTGATATCGACAGGCTTTACATTTCGCGACGAATAGGAGGAAGAGGACTTGTCCAAGTGTTATAAACTGTGGAGGAGGAGAAAATAAGCCTAAGCCAATATCTCAAAACAAGTCGTGAGAAACTAATCCGTGAGATATTAAAAGAAAATATCTTAAATGTAAAAAGAGGACAACAAGAAAATATACAAACAAAAGATTATATCAGCTAGAATAGCAAACTGGAATAATAAACCCCTCCACGGTAGTTACGCAAGAAATATTAAAGAAAACGCAGATGATAAAAAATCATACCAATGGATATCGAATGGGACAACCCGTAAAGAAATAAAAGCAGCCATCTTTGCAGCACAAGATCAAGCCTTCACAACAAATGCAATTAAATACAGAGTACACAAAACGACAGATGATCCAAAATGTAGACTCTGTAAAGATAAAGATGAGACCATTGACCACCTAGTGTCAGGATGCAGTAAGATCGCACAAACGGAATATAAGAAAAGACACGATAACGTAGCCAGCATGATCCATTGGAACATCTGCAAAAACATCGGCGCCCCAGTAAAGAAAAACTGGTACAACCACTACCCAGGGAAGGTGGTTGAAAACGATAGGGGAAAAATACTTTGGGACTTCCGAATCCAGACTGACAGACGAATTGAACACAATACGCCGGACATCGTGGTGATAATCCAAGAAACCATCAATATAATAGACATAGCCATCCCTGGAGACCCCCGAGTGAGAGATAAGGAGATCGAAAAAATCAATAAATACCAGGAGCTAGGAAGAGAAATGACCCGCCTATGGAGAAAACCATTCTCAGTCATCCCAATTGTCATAGGAGCCATGGGAGCCATCACGTCGAATTTGGGGAAACACCTTATTGACCTCGAGATCATGGAGTTAAGCACCGCCCAGTTCCAGAAAACAGCGATCTTTAGGACAGCGCAAATATTACGCAAACACTTGCGGAGTTTTAGGCCTCTGGTTGAGACCCGAACCTGAAAAAAAATCCATCATCAACCGGCAAACAACACAATGAAGCCGTGACATTCTTAACAAATGAATTAAAAAAAAAAAAAATATATATATATATATATATATATATATATATATATATATATATATATATATATATATATATATATATATATATATATATATATATGTATATATATATATATATGACATACTTAATAAAAGTTGAAGAGTTTTGTAAAATCTACCAGAAAAAAAGATAATATATAGGGTGTATCACTGAAAAAATTTGAAATTTCTTAATTTTAAATAGTTGAAATTCATAAATATATTTTAAACACCCTGTAGCATCTAACTGAAATATCTTTCCACGCGTCTTTTTGTGTATTTCTGTAAAATTCTCCTACCAAATTTTAGTTTCCAACTTTAGAAACAATGGCATCACTGACAATTTTTACCACACTGCAATCTAACAATTGTTTAAATAAATTTAAATATTAAAAAACTATTAATTTTAGGTATATAACATTATATATAAAAAATTTATGTAATTTTACGCATGATCTAAAAATAAAATTAAAAATAGGGTGTTGCATTTAAAAAAAACATATGTTATATTTGCCACACTTTTTGAAGCGCCTTGTATACTCTATAATAATTTTAAAATGTGTATTTTAACCGTATTTGTAACTTTCATGTTTAATATTTTTTGTAAACCTCGAAACAAATGAGATGGACTTTACGCTATCGTTGACTACTCACTCTGTACAGTAGTTCTTCAAACATCTGTTGGTACTTGTATACTCTTGCTCAACGATGAAGTTGGAGTTGACCACACCAGTTTGAGTTATTCCGAATGTTTAGAGTTTGTGTTCCCCCACGATAAATTAGTTGAACTTATGCCACTACTTTTTTCCACCATTCATTTTCTTTTGAATATTCTACTAACTTTTGGGTAAGTAAATACTTAAATCAAAGCCCTTAAGAAGGGTCGCCATGTCATATCATTCTAATACAGGAAAAATCAAACAAATGTTCACACTTTCAATACATTTATTTGAATCAGCTAACCTAGTTACATTAAAATATTAAACAAACATTGTTGAGTAACTAGATCAAACTACATAGAGACAATGCTTCCAGACAAAATATGCTTGTAACTTCTAACTTAGTGTTGTTACTGATGTACCCAGCTAACATGTAATTAAAATTGTATTATGTTATTTTATATTAATTAAATTAACTTCCCAAAAATAAAATTTTTGATAAATACCTGAAACATTGGTTTGAACTGCAAAAATTTTGGATTAAAAAATAAATATGTAAAAAACGTGTTGCCTCGAAGTGAAAAAATGAAAATGCCTTGTAGTGAATAAATGGAAATGCTTCGTCATTTGACTAATGGATTTTCCGTTGTATTTTTTATATCCTCTGTCGGGATATGGGTAGTTAGAGTAGAAGAGTAGGACGTCGCTAATCACTATATAATTATAAAAGTTCATTAATGATATAAATGATCTTCTCGTTGAAAAATCTGGTATCAAAATATCTAAGTAGATTTTAAATATGAGATGCTCGATATAAAAAAAATAATATAATTATGTGATTTTAAACTACACATCTCATACCAACAGGTTCTAAAGTATTTAGAACTGATATGAATTTACCAAATTCAATGATTTTAATAAAAAACATTGAGAAATTGTTATTCATAAATAATTAAAGAAAAATTCTTGTTGAACTCTTCATTTTATTACTGCTTTTATTACTCTTAAATTGTTAATCTCTAAACAGTTTTTATTAAAGTTGAAATGTATTTTCTTTATTCCCTTAATATAAAATAATTATAGGGATTTTTTTTTTACTAATGATTTACCACATTTAAGACTTTATTTGAAAATACAGTTTTTAAATAAATCAGCAACAATGCAACGTAGGAAACTAACTAACTGTTTTAATTCTCGTTGTATGCGATTATATTCTTTTGACAAGTAGGCAAGACGTCTTAAGTACTAAGTACCCATAAAAATATTTGCATTATTTAAGATCTTCCTGGTAATATTTTTGGTGTATTTGACTGCTAATTTTCAAACTGTAACTGTATAAAACGTGTATATTATTTATCGTCTAATTTTTGCTGTAAGTGTTAATATGAATAAACATAGAACTCAATATAATATGATGGGTTTAGGCTTATTTTTATATTTACTGTAGTAAATAAGTATATTTTTTTAGTTAATACTATTGCTTTAGTTTTGGAGAAGTGCTCATCATAGTTAATTAGATTATGAAAACGAAATATATTGTTTGTCGAAGAATAAGACCGAAATGAAGGCTCATAACGAATCAAGATATATAAACCATGGTATGGTCATTTGTCGTTTCAAATTAGTTAATTTCTGCGCATGACGTCACATTCGAATCAAATCCATGACAGCTGCATTTGATCGAATGGTTTTATCTGGTTTTTATCGTGGTTTTATGGTAATTAGCCTGTTTTTATATAGTGAGTTTTGTTAGTATTTTCGTAATTCAGTTTCTAGTATTTAGTACGATTGATTTTAGGTGGCTAGACTAGGTATTAATTTGCTTTAAAAGCTTTAGTTAAAATGCCTGAATGTACGGTGGCTACTTGCAACAACACTAATCGGGAAAAGAAAGGCACTAACAGTAAATATTTCTGATTTCCAAGAAGATTTGGCTAAACAGTGGATAATTGCTTGCTGTCGAGAGGATAAGATAAATCTAAAAAATGGTTAGCTTACATTTTGAATCACTTAATTTATAGATCTACTTTGAATAATAACCAAACTAATATATTTAGGGATATCTACTCAATTTTTTTGTTTACAATAGTTATCGAGTATCATTGTAAAGGCGAGCGGCCACTGCGAGCGTAACTAAACTAAGCTAAGAATATGAAAACAAACGGTAATTAAATGGGAACTCCACTGGGAACGATTTTCGCTCAGTAGTCAGCTAAGTTTTCGTATTGTATCTCTGCTATCATAAAACTAATCGCTGCGAAAAATTCGCTGGAACCTTTCACGAACTAAAACGAGCGAAACTAAACTACGAGTCGAATCTTCGTTTATATATTTTCATTTGATTCGGTCAAGTAGCCGCTGACGCATTAAAAAGTATGGAAGCTGATTTTTACAAATCTTATCTTCGCTTAGTTTAGTTTCGCTCGCAGTGGCCGCCCGCCTTAAATAATTCTAAATAGAATACAATATGTTTGTGACATATATAATAATATATAAATAAAATTATATAAGAGTTTCTTGCCTTGAACTGCTAATATAGAAATTAATTCCACGCTGTGTTCGTCATAATCGATAGTAATGTGTGTTCGTCATAATAGATAGTTCGTCATAATCGATAGTAAATAAAGGCTTTTTCGGTTAGTCCAAAATAGATAATGGAAAATAAATTTCTTGCAGTTTTTAGGTATATAATAAAATTATATAAGAGTTTCTTGCCTTGAACTGCTAATATAGAAATTAATTCCACGCTGTGTTCGTCATAATGTGGATCAACCTGCTCTCACTACCGGTTTCGGGGCCCTACCCCATCATCAGGTGAGCTTGGGTATTTCCACAAAACGACGAGCACAGCGCAGAGTATATACATACGACTTGTCGTAAAGTAGCGGTAAGATATTAAGTCCCGCATCTCGAGATAGCGATAACCAACCAAAACTAAGTTGACGCACATCATGAATCATGCATACAAGATCAAGACATTGTCGCATTTTTCAATAGTCAATAGTCAGTTGATTTAAACTACCAATGAAAACACACCCAAGCGCCAAATAACTCGCTTCAACCCTGCAATAGAGATGATCTTAAATCGTCGCTTATAATAGGTAGGCAATTCGAACTTTCCAAGCTAGAATAATTATTTCGCCTCTGTCAAGTAGAGTTCTTTTTGGGCTGGGTTTACGCGGCTTATGTTGCACCTGGTCCTGGATGTGATATAATATTTGATAAAATGATTTTTTGTGTTGTAGAATTGTTATAAGGTACACTGGGATTTAATAAAAAGCTAGATAAAAAAATAAATCGTTTCCTTTATTTTAAAGATGGGGCGCGGCCTCAGAGACCTACCCAAACGGGCCGCCACTGATTGAACTAATTACGCCAGCATTAATTTATTTGAAATTTTAATAAATGAGTAAAAATTGTACTCGTCTACAGAGTACAATATAATAGTCGTGTAACATTTAATATAACAATTTATCTTCAGTCTATTTAGTAAATATGTATATCGTGGTGAAATGTGATAAACGGCTAACTCGATCCATTATTCCTAATTTTAGAGAAGAGAAAATAAACGGCACAAAAAAAATATTTACACATGTAGCAAGTATATTCATGCGTTATGATAAACAGATAAGAATAATATTTGTTGAGGAACAATATAAAAATCGTAAAAATGATGTATTAAAAGTTTTAAAAAAGAAGAATGAAGTTATTGGGCAAACCTACAGTAAGATTAGCAATGAAACATGGCTAAAATACGACTACCAGACACTTAGTGTTTCTGCCTTCCGGCTTCATCAATACGGGAGGAATCAGCAACGATGAACTAGCGATCCTGAAAAAAGAAAAAGAGGAAGCAAACGAGGCACTAGGCACCATTTGCAACCTGGTTAAGCAGTAGCTCACCATTCGCAAGCGTTACTACCAAAAAGCCGCTGCGGAGGTACTTCAATATACCTCGCCGCTATCACCTTGGCACAGAGAAAACAATAAACAAAAGATGTTATCGTGGGGACTATAATAAAAAAGAAGAATGAAATTACTGTGCAAACCCACAATAAGTTTAAAAAACCAAACAAAGCCAGGTTGCAAATGGTGCCTAGTGCCTCGTTTACTTCCCCTTTTTCTTTTTTCAGGATCGCTAGTTCATCGTTGCTGATTCCTCCCGTATTGATGAAGCCGGAAGGCAGAAACACTAAGTGTCTACGGGTAGTCGTATTTTAGCCATGTTTCATGGCTAATCTTACTGTAGGTTTGCCCAAT